CATACAACTTTTTATTGGCCTTACATTGGGACAAAGTACTTAATGTCAATCTTATGTCCGATAAAATGTTCTTGAACATTTATCTGTTATTTATTTAATGTAATTAACAAACCTACGAAGCAGAATCTGCCAAAAAAATAAAAAGTACTTTTTTCTTTGGTAAATCTAATCGTATTACAGTTTACATTAAAACTCGACTACGCTAATCCTCAAAGTTAAAGTACTTATAGCATTTGGTTATCTTATCTTGTTACAATAAAAAGATTTGCAAATTAGATGTCAGAATGAATCAGCTTTATTTCTTTATTGTATATGTAATGTTCGCTGTCGTATTATATATGTTTTATATATACTTTTAAACATTGTGACCTTAACAAAATATTTAACAGCATATTTAACTGATTTCGAGAATCTTGAGTAGAAGGATAAATGTTGTGAAATATTCTCATCGAGTCAAACATAGTTTGTCATCGGTGGCGTTAAAAATAAAACTGGAAGGAAGGTTGCTTATTAATTTCCGTCTGAAAGCTTTGCTCGCGGGAACCATGTTTGATGGTTGAAACCTGGGACAAAATATTTCCACAATTGTGCTCTCTAATAATGACAGTTTATGAAAAACTAATAAAATAGATTATATTTAACTGATATCTGTTAAATATAATATGTATGTAACATATATGTAAGATTGAGCCGTGATAGCTCAGTGTCCTGGGCGCTCGCCTCTAATTCAATTTACTCGAGCAATCTAAGTGCCAGCACCAATGAAATTGTTAATTTTAAGTGCTGACTTATCACGTGCGCAGTGATGAAGATCGTGAGGAAACCTGCATATTTTCTTAATAATAACAAAAAAAATATATCGTAAATATGTGAAGTCCGCCAATCTGTAGTGGGGTCGCGTGGTGGACTATGCCTTGATATCTCTTTAGCGAGGAGGCCTTTTCCCAGCTGTGGGACATTTCTAGTTAGTTTAACATATGTAAGTACATAGAAAACATTATTATTATTCTTTCTTTTTTGTGTAATATATACTTTCGTGAACATTTAACAACGATGCTTTTAAATTTATCTTAAGGTGTATTTGACAGTAGTTCTTAAATTGCAGTCGTTTGTTTTTTACACTGTAACTACCGATCCAATCTAAGGACTCATTGCTCATAAATCTATACATGTGAAATTAAGTACTGGAATTTTTTATTGGTTTCATTGTTCTCGCAATAAAATCAGAGGCATTTATAAATATTAAATACAGAATCGGAGATATGAGACGTTAGAACTTAGTATTGGGTATTATTGTAGTAATTTAATGTAGTTGTAGTTATTAAAATTACATACATTATTCTTTTTTGAATTACAAGCAAACAATAAAACACTATTTATTAATGTGTATTTTCTTTTGTTTTATAATTCAAATGAAATATTTTTTTCTACTATTTGCTTTTCTATTATAGAAATATTTGCTCTAGCCAAGCGTCATGCACAGGTCTACGCGATCCTCTGATCTAAGCCTCTGGGGAAAGCTAGATTTTACAACAACGAGAATAATAAGAAATATCCCTTGGTAATCTTTGAGATGGTTGCCTTAGCGTTACTCATCGCTGCGTAGGACCGCCTCTTCCCGTCTGTTGAATGCGAGGATAATCAAGTGTAAATCGCAGCGGTTTTGCCTTCGGTGGTCTTTTTGATGTAACTGAGTGACGGGCGCTCTGCCATTAATTTATATAGGAGTCTGCGTCCATTGTGAGTCGCTCCATAAATACATGTGAAAAGATGTGAAGGGAGGAGAGTTCATTCCACCCTCCAGGGAAGATAGAATTGGTAACATCTTGAGACATTTCAGATTGAAACGTCGCGAGAGAGGATGTTTTGTTTTTTGTACAACTGTCTCGAAACATTTCTTAATATTGTGTACTGGTGAGTGCTTCTGATTATTACAAGCAAATATTCATAAACAGATTTTGTTCAATCGTTAAATATTAATGTTTCGCGTAAATGGGTCAACATTTTCTAGATTTCCTTCTTAAGCCGTATATCATCCGACGTCTAGTGACAGCCGATATGAGTTACCCGAGGAGCACTTGCGCTAAGAACATGTCTGAGGGTGCCCTCAATTATAAACTAACTCGAAGTGGTAACTGTAAACGCGAGAATATTCTTGAATCATAACCAATTAAATTCCAAACAATAAATTTATAATGTAATTTTTTATTGTTTTTATTGTTCTCGCAATTCGAGGCATAGCGATATTTCAGCTAATATATTTCTTAAGACTTTGTAAATTGACGATCATTGAATAGTCAAAACAGATGCAATAAAAGTATAAAGTGCTATTTTAATGTAATGCATGTACTTTTTCTGTTTACTATTATCTTTGTAATATGTTTTTTTGTTTGTTTGCTCTTTGGGCATTCAGATGCGGCTCTGATCTTGATTAAAATCCATACTCCTTTAATAAGCGTCGCTCGGGTCCGTCCGAATGGTATCGGTGGACCCGTGGCGGCGTGTGCGACCGATTGATTTCGCGTGAGTCATAAGCGTTTTGGCTCCTGTTATGTTGCCCTGGTGCGCCCGCTCTCGGTGAACTGAACACGCTTTTTTTTTCTCTTCTGAGCTGGGAACTGTTTATTTTGTCGTGCTCGTCGACTTTACGAACATTGTTGCTTGGCTTAACTTACTAAACAACACAACAATGATAACATTATGAAAACAAAAATAATCCACATTACAATTACGCTGGGTCATATTTTTAAATAACATCTATTCTACAAAACCATAATTGTATAGCTCAAATACAGCGATTTGCAATAAACTCCGTGTTTAAATAAGAAAAAGCGACGAATGATTATTCATAAAACAAATAAGTAAATAATATTCTGCTCTTTTAAACTGAACAAATTGTTTAGTTGTTGTCGTTGCTCGTTAGCTTTTTATGAGGCGTTGAATACATGTGCGGATTTTATATTCAAACATCAGTATTAATGGCCGACACTTTCTCGCTCACGTCGCATTCATTTTTTTAAAAATTGTTCTCACCGCATCCACAGGCGAACAGAAAGGGCTGTGCGTGCAAAAATGGAATTTATCGAGTTTATTTTTATATTATCTATATTTATACCAACGTTGTAAAAACTCATAGTTTAAAAAAATTCTCTAAATGGAATCATGAAAAGAAGTATTTCACTCTACATCTGCTCAAAATTGGTAATGAAATTATCGTATAAGATATATAAATTGTACGGGACGGTTTTTGGGCAGCCGTCCTAATATGATTGTCTTAATTAATTGTCTCTAGCGATATAGACGGCTGATTCGACTGAACGACCTCCAAAAGTGAGCTTACACTTTTCACAAAAGCAGGCAAGTTTGTTACATAACTTAGTGGCTGAATTGTAAAACTCAAATAGTCGATACCTAGCCAGGCTGAGTTCTATCAGTTTCGATCGATGAGTAATTTTTCCGACTAGGATCCCTACGTTCGTTTACAATATCCACTTCGCCACGGCCCTCTGCGCCTTTAGAATTTCGTTCGTAGATGGGGTTGAACCCCCCTCGGCCAGCGGATACCTGAGTACGATGGGACCTTTTGTTTCATTACTTACGCGGGGCTTCACACTTGCAATGCGTATTTCATGTGTACGTGTATATATTTCTGTCTAACATTGAACAGCCACTTTTGCATTATTACAACAGAGATTCACCAAATGCAAAGCTTTCGCATCTGCTTTCAGTTGTTACGGGTTTACTCTTTTAAATTTTATCGGTATATCTTTCAAGATTTATCGGCGGTAGGGCCACGCGGCAGCCTTGGCTGTTACGAATGGGCGAGCTCGTCCGGGTAAGTACCACGACCTCACAGAAAATCGGCGTAAAGTGGAAGTATAATACTTTCGCGTTTCGTCTGGTGAGTGAGGTGGCCGGAGCCCAATTTTCAAAAGGTTGTTAACGCATCTGAACCCTTGGGTGTAGCAGATGTCCATGGGCGGCGGTATTCACTTGAACTCAGGTGAACCGTCTGCTCGCTTGGCAACTTTTCACATAAAAAAATGTATTGTAGTGATAGAAGTAAAAAGGTTTTAGTCAATAAAATCCACGCTTAGCTCGTCTAACGAAACAAAGATCAATAATCAATCATCTAACAGGGTAGATTATATATCTAACAAATGAGGATAGCAAGTGCTATTTATAAACAGAGAGCGTCATGAGCTTATGCTGCTGAAATCGGATCATGGCCACTAGGCCGCCTTCAATCAATAATCTCATTCATAAATCGTTTCGCCGCTGCGAGCTGTGTGACCTGGACAAGTCTAGGTCGCTCGTTCTGAGCTGTCGCGCCCCGAGATAGCGAGTCGGCGACGATGCGGGATCGAGTCGCTCAGATTCTGAACGGTCTCCGATTTGCGCACTACACGCCTTTGCGTTGCTCGGCGTCTCGCAACCGAATTAACTGCCATTATGACTGGTTTAGGGCGAGCGGATGTCTTAAAATAAAATCCAATGTTTTTCATATATACATTAAGAAGATTCAACGGAACCAAGACAATTTTGCACAATATTTTTATTTTCGGAACAAAATTCTTCGCCAGTTTTTCGCAATGGTTATAACCATCTAATAAAGATCTATCCCCTTCTGATATTGCGGATATCTAAAGGGGGCGGCGATAGCTTAGCAATTTGATGCTTCGCTAGCCTCTGTTAAAACGACGGGTTGAGATCGGTCGAACGTTTCATACGTTTCACACAACCGTTCGATCGTGATTGATATATATATATATGTACTAGTGCCCCGCCCCGGCTTCGCACGGGTGCAATGTATTATACATATAAACCTACCTCTTGAATCACTCTATCTAGTAATAAACACCGCATCAAGGTCCGTTGCGTAGTTTTAAAGATCTAAGCATACATAGGGACAGACAGACAGCGGGACGACTCTGTTTTATACTATTCAGTGATATTTAGCAACTGGCCGTGCTAACAGGCACCCTTGCACTGGTCCGCAGGTGTATGTGGCGCTGTTCAAGCCGCTGCGCGTGTCCCGCCGCCAGTTCCGGCGCGTGCTGATGTGCATGCGCAACGTGCGCCACCTCAAGTGCCACGAGCTGTACGCCCACGAGAAAGTCACCAAGGTCGACAGCCTCTCGCTAGTGCTGTCCGGCAAGTGAGTGCAGCCCCTCTCCTATCCTTCGATACTGCCACTCTCAGCTGATGACGGCTGTCTAGATCGGTGATGTCGTGCCTCTACGGACACTTCTCGATACATATGTTTTAGTTGAAGGCATCGTTCAAGTATCGTATTGCTCATGCTACATCTGTTTTTCTAAATGATAAAACGCTGAAATGAAAGCTCGCATTACGTGGCGAGATTAGAGCAAGTTGTGCCTACAATGCCTTGCAGGCCAAAGGTATTGCAGATGTCCCTGGACAGTGAAAATCTTCTAGAATCATCTGCACCGTCTTCGCGCGTACCACTTACTAACATATCAAAAATACTAATAGGATAACAAAAACTTTTACATAATATAAATCGCGCAAAATATGGTACCGTTAGATCAACTATTCAATAAAATAGGTTAATTTAATTTTGATGACTGAGCTAAAGCATTCGAATATTTACATATGTATAATTTCTTCCGGCTCGTTTAATTATTCAGAGCTTTAAACTCCAAACAAGTTTTGTTCGGTAATCGGTTTTGGTTTGAATTTAAATTCGGCGCTTGAATAATTAACAATCAGTAGGTATAAACGGAGGAGTCCGGATTGCTTCTGAGGGAATTTTAAACGGGGGATGGTTTCTTAAATTCAAATTAAGGCTAGGTTAATCAGCGTCAACGGGTGGAATATAAGTCTTTGGATCCGATCTATAAATTTTACGCAATTACTTTGTTACATGATATGAAATATGGCAACGGTAATTGTTACGATTGAAACCAATACAAACATTGATTCTCCTGCTTTTTAATTAATCCGAACACAATGTTTACTACACCTGTTGTTGCTTGTCGCTATCATCGAGGAGATTTTTTTAAAACGAAAAAAACACCACCAGCTGTGAGCGTTTAAATCCATGGTAGATGTAATATAAGGCCGATGTCTTTCCCGTACGGTCCTGGCCACAGCGTTGTTAGAGGAGGCCAGTGTCCGCGGCGCCGTCTGCTGAATCAATCAAATCCTTATCGGGTTCCGTGCAGTGGGGCCGTTAGCGCGGTGACGTCACCGCCCCGCAGACACGATCCCTGCAGGCCAGCAGCCGGCGGGTTATTTGCAGCGCCCCGGATGCCGTTCTCGGAACGGTTTTAACGCCGCCGCGGACGCAGCGTTCAAATATCTCGACCGATTTCTAATAAAACTGTTTTTTTGTATAGTACATGTTTTAGAATGTAAGCATATTTAGTTTGCACACAACTACCTACTTACCTATCATATGTTGTCCGTAATTGTATGTCAGGGGCATGCCGGTAGAGAACTCTTTTTAGGGGTAAGCTCGCGTTTGTACTTTTTTAAGATTGATTTTGATTTTTAGTGCTAGTCTCTGCACTCATGATAAAAATTTAAATTGTAAGTTTTGTATACAGCGTGTCGTTACCATCGCCACAATAAATGAACACACGTTTAACGCTACTTGCCAATAATCATAAAAAAATATTAACGTTAAATAAAATCCATAATTAAAAAAAAATATTTTTCAAACAAACTAATTAAGTAAAAAAGAAACAAAATTTGTAACATCCTATACAACTACAACTGACTACTGATTCATACATTCGGAGAGTTTTTCATTCGTTGCCACAGCGTCGCGTTACAAGCCTCTCCTTCTAACAGTATGTTTTGTCTCTTTTAAATTCATTCAACCCATTCATATGCTTTGTGACCTTTACAAATGAACTTTACGTTACAGTTTTATACGAAAGAATGTTCTAAAATTCTTTGTTTCGGAAAATTTTATAACTGTAAATATTGATGTTTAAAGAAAGTAAATGTTTAATACAATTTTAAAAAGTTATCCTCTATATGTGTGTTCATTTATTGTCGCGATGGTAAAGACACGCTGTATACATATATGAAAAAAAGCTTTCGGCGCTGCGGTAATGCTAAAAATGCAACAGAAAAGAATGCGTAGCTAGATGTCAAGATTTTCATGCTTTGCGGTCATCGGACACTTAGCTTAGTTGCTAAAGCGTCTGGGCGCGAAACCAGAAGACGTAGCTTCGAATCCCGCAGCGCCGAAAGTTTTTGTTCATATATGTATACAGCGTGTCTTTACCATCGCGACAATAAATGACAGTGCCAAGTACCTCAAATTGCTGCGGTTTCATACTCGCAACCGGCAATCGTGCTCTTAAGCCATGAGTCATTAAATATTCTTTATCATATACTGATAACAATACAATAAATATATTGTGTATTCAAAAATTAATCAAATGTGTATTGTCTTGTGTGGAGACAATTGACTTATTATATAATTACCATTTGTATCCAACGTCAATAAGTTTTAGTTCGTACGATGTATGTATGTATACTACATCTTAGGTGTAACGTTTTAAACATTTAGAGAAAATTTTAAATAACTCAAATGATTAATTATTTATCGTAAGTTAAAGCTCCGAACCTTAATCTATCTAGTAATAAATACATTTACTAGGTAATTTCATTTTGAATTAAAATTATTGACACATGCTATTAGAAAACAAAAAGCTTTAATACCGCATAAAGGCCTTAAGCCATGAGTCATTTCTTTATCATATACGGTGGTAGGGCCACGCAGCAGCCTCGGCTGTTTCACGAATGGGCAAATGTGCCCGTCCGGGTAAGTACCACGACCTCACAGAAGACCATTTGTAAACGTGGAAGTTTTATGTACAAATACTTTATTTCGTCTGGTGAGCGAGGTAGCCGGAGCCCAATTTTCTAAAGGTTGTCAACGCATCTGTAACCCTCGAGTGTAGCAGAGTCCATGGGCGGCGGTATTCACTTAACATCAGGTGAACCGTCTGCTCGTTTGACAACTTTTCGCATAAAAAAAAAAAAAAAAAAAAATGCTAAAATAATTTGTGTACAATAAACTTTACTAGTGTGTAGTGTGCTCGGCCAGCCGATCACTAATGGTATAAGGTTTTATTTTTATGTGTCCTTGTCCACTAAGTATTGTCAAGTTGGTAGATATATCTTTAGAATTTTATCAAGCATTTACTAACACAATTAATTTTATTTCATGTTGTTAATGTTTCAAATGAATACTCTTCATACTATTTCTTAAATTAATGATTTAATAGCAATTATTATCTTATAAATTGCTCTCTTGAGTTTGGGAATATAATTCCAATACATTTTCATTCTTCAGCAGCAATTCTTGTACTTGAAAAATACCAAGTGTAATTGAAATATCGATACAATTGCCAAACTCGGAACAAAACAAGCGCCGTGAAAGACGCTTTATTTGACGGCAACACCATTCTCCAATGATTTTTTTTTATTTTCGCGAAGAGGCACTATATAGTCTAAATGAAATACTTTTTACTTCATTTTTTCGCCTTTTAAGTATATTCAAATTCAAATACAACGCTACACTCTCGTCGCGAGGGACATTCCGAAAGCATTCATGGTCACAAGACGAGACTGTCCGCAAAAAAAAATTAATAACTAACCTTTCTGTCTATCTTGTTAGGTTATTACATAGGGACGTGGTTACTTCCTGTTGTTGTTCTTTTGAATTGGAACATTTTTGTCTAAGACTTTTCAAAGAAAGGTTGCCGCGGAAGGCTTAGACTAAAGGCGGGAACGCGGCATTGTTTTCGGATCGATTGTTAAACCGATAGTGATCCCAGCGATATGCAATAGTGTTACGTGAGCATGACAGACGCGTGTGCACGTGCGGGGGCGTTCGTGAATTAATTGGCCCCCGGCTTGCGCCAGTTGCATACGCGCCCCGCCGGATAAGGTGCCCGCGCTCCTTAAGATCGTCGCGCAAGGCAACGGACCGCTTTTTGTGAATGAAACTCATTGAGAGCAAAAGTATTGACTAGCGAGTTTTTAGTAGGGTGACACTGAGTTTGCACTTTCCTCGGCCACGTCTCCGTTAGTATGCGTAGCGAACATGTTTTTAAAAATTTGTTTTTTCGTAGGCGTGAAGAGCTGTTTAACTCAGTGGCTAGAGCGTCGTGTGCGTATCTCGGTGGACGTAGGTTCAAATCCTCGCAGCATTTTTTTAAATTTCACCTTAAGTGCAGAGAGTAAAATAGCACTATGAAAGTTAATATTATTTAAAAAATTTGCGAGCATGGTCACAGTGATAACATACCTTTTATTTTCGCTTTCTTCTTTCTTTTCCTTAGCACCCAGGAACTGGAAAAAAACTATGTTCATCACATAAAATTTTGCCAGTATTTGTGGATCGAACCAACACTCTCTGGTGCAACAGGCAGTTATTATCTAATCATATAATTTTAACATGTTTACTTACTGCAACCCAGACGAGTTGTTTTAGTCATAAAAATGAATAGAATTCTCATGAGCAGTATTTCTTCCTCAACGTGCGTAACCTACGATAACACCACCCGAAGGCGTTGCACAACAGAGGCGGTCTGGCCGCAAGCCTGCGACCTCTTTAACGATGTCAGACCTTGAGTCAGGCAGAGTTGGCAGCGGTTGGGCTGAGCCGCTCTCGTGATTTATTCAGCTGCATTTAAACATTAACCTGGTTAACCCAGTTTGTCTCCCGGCTCTTAACAGCGTTAGCGGGCCAGGTGTATCGATTATGGACGGCCCGCGTAACACGCCCCCTCGGCCGCCTCACCGTTAATCAAAACCGTACAATTCAATGATAGATAACTTAATCCGTTAATGTTTCGTAATAAAATTATAAGTCGTTAGTAAATCGAGTTCAATAAATTTTCTTTTTGGGTACGCGAATTGGTCGAGCCGCTGGTCGGGCTATGATCACCTACCGTCGAATTTTATAGGTTCATTAATAATAAAGTTATTCCATCGAATAAATGAAATCGAAGAAAATATTTGTTATCAAAAGAGTAAAATTTTTATAAAAATTATTATTTATTCATAATTTTAACTTACTTCCTTTGCCCTGTAACTATCTCTATATGTATAAATACTCTAAGTTATTCTAAAGCCAAATATCCATTATATTATATTGTTTGACTCACG